ACCAAGGTCGTCGTCCGGGGTCTCTCCTCCTCCGGCGGCGACGCCCACGACGACGACGAGGATGGGGCCGCCGCCGCCTTCGAGCTCGACCGCTGGCGCTTCCGCCTCCCGCCCTGCACGCGCCCGGCAATGGCCACCGCCACCTACGCCCAGGGCGAGCTCGTCGTCACCGTCCCCAAGGGCGCCGGCCCCGACGACGGCGACGCGGCCGCTATCCTGGGTGGCACGGACCGCGTCCTCGTGCTTGTATAGTAAATTTATATCTCCCATCCATGACTCGTCTCGACTTCGCCTGTTTCTGTTCGGCAGCATGTAACTGCTGGATCTGGCTTGCCTTATCAGCCAGCTTTCCTCTCACGCCAAACCAGCCAGCAGTACTTCAGCCCATCGCTTATAAGCCAATCCAGCCGAAACGAATAGGCTGATGATGATGATAAACAGAGCAGTTAGAGTAAGAATAATGCCTGTAGCTCCGCCTTTGCTGCTAATTCTCTGTCCAAACTTGTCATCTGATTGTGCACTTTGTCAGTACTCAGTTTCTCCAGTTTTAATAAAACATTTGTAGCATACAGGTCAGCTCTTGCTTATGAGCCATTTGTGATTAGACTGCTGCAATTGGGGCGCTTGGTAACATTTTCAGCATGAAATTCCACTGCATAGTCCGTTGATCATGTTTTATAAGAAACCGTAGATCTGTTTGGTGAGGTGGTTGTGGTTTCATGTGAGATCAAGAGTGGTCTTTGCAACTAGAGATTTTCGGTAGCAAATGGTTTTGGTACTGAGTCTGACTCTGTAGCGCTCAATGCTGGAGCCTGGAGTCCCTCAGCGAATTTTCAATCTCATGGCATCATCTGAGAGACAGAGATGCATATATGATTTGTAGTGTGTTTGGTTGTACTTGTGTAGCAGGTTTAATGTATGTGCATCTGCATCTGCTGTGCTGAATGGATGGATGGACATGGTTGTGTTGTGATTTGGAGGTTAAGAGGTCACCGGTTTATTCAATCAAGTTTCATTTTTGTTATTATCCCCTTGTCTGTATCTCAAGCCTGGGCGCCTTGGGTCACAACTTTGTGTGTTTATTTACATTCCCGTCGAATTTTCTTTGGTCATGCCTGTCAGTCAATCACCAATCCACTCAAAGAACACATCTAGAGTTTGTTTTGCACGCACCATATATAACAGAAAATATTCTTAGGTTCCATACGACATGCAATAATTGCATCCTCAGGGGGCCATAGAGCGAGCATCCAATCAAACTATTGAGCATATATATTGGTCTAGATTTCCTTGTCAACTTTATCCTAGTTTGTATTCACTGCCTTTTTATCACATCTTTTGCTCTCCGGAGATGCTCAGCTTGCTTGTCAAACTTGCTAACTTCTCTACTTGAGTCTTACACCCGCCTGAATCACTTCCATTCAGGTGATTGGAGGATCATTTTGTTTAAAGTAGCTAGGCATTCTTTTGCTCCAAATATTAGTCTTTTTTTTTGGTTAAAAGTAACTGCTAACTAGGCTTTCTGGTGCTCCAAATATACCTGTCCACTCCACTAGTTCAGCCCCTTTGGAGTTTGTTTATTTTTTCCCCCTTTGAGGATTATTTGTGTGCATTTTGTTTTTCCTAGGCGGATGAGCTATTGTTTAGCTCACCCTGTCGAGTCTGCTATTCTGGTGCTGTGGTAACACAATTTTGATTAGTTGGAACTATCATTTCTTTTCCATTTCCTGTTAAACACCCCTTCGAAACGCTGGATTTCTTCCCCTGAATTACGTGGGGATTTCTTGCAGAATGCCTCTGACTGAATTCTGCTCGAATTTTGGTAAACTTGCTTTGTTGCAACAGGGTGGCCTGACTGTTTATTTCGCACAAGTCATTTGATCCAGTTTTACGCTGTTTCCATTTCCCGTTGTCATGCTCTGATCTTATACTTTGTTGTCACTGTGCAGCTGCTAAAGCATTTGCACAGAAGATACTCCTACATACCGCCGTTCTCCCCCTTTTTTTTCAGTAAACACTTGGAGATTTCACTTGTTCTCCTAGAGCTTTTCGAAGTGGAGTGCAGGCGATCGGTTCCGAAAAATTTCAGAGAAACGTCCTGCAAAATCTGCACCCCATCTGCTGGTGCAAACTTTTAGTGCGAGGCGACGACGAGATGCCTTGCAGTTGCGTTGCAAAACTGAAAGGCGACAGAATATTTATCCAGTCATTTCCTGGGAGGAAAGTGAAAGTGATGTGAACATTATTGCTTTTCCTAGTCGCCGTAGACGCCCTAGAGAATCTTGAATTACCTGGACTAGAATGCCTGATTTTTTTTTACAACGACTGAAGTCTGAATTACCTGGACTAGAATGCCTGATTTTTACACCGATTGAAGTCCAGGTGTCTCACATCCTCCGGGAACAGTTTTTTTTTTTCTTTTTCACTGAGGACATCCATGATGTAAAGACAAGGAATGATGATGCTGGCACGGGTCATGGGAAAAAAGCGTCGGGTTTCTTCTGGCCCGATCTGAACCAGGCCCAGCCTGGGGTATGAATATGATCAGATCTATTTCGCTCGGTTGATCTACTCACGTGAACAGCGAACCCATATTTTACTCTGATGATTCATGATGGTATATAAGGATAAAACAAACGTGTCATATTTACTCTAGACCTCGTACTTTGTTTTTGAAGTGTAGGCTCCATATCTTATTGTATATAGCACTGTAAAAGCTAGTCCACATTTGCATTATAATAGCAGTAATTACTGGACAAATGTACAGAGTGGACCTCTTAGGAAGAGGCTACAGTCTTTCTGTTCGGCTAGTCCACATTTGCATTAGATACTGATAGTGTGGAATAATGGAAAGGGCAACAAGGTCATGCACGTTGCTTTCTCTATGTCACCGTAGACGCTGAAGAGAACCTTGAATTACCTGGAGTAGAATGTTTGGTTTTTTTACACCCAGGCCTGGTTTAGATTGGGGTTAGGAATCAGTATTTGGAACTGTAGCACTTTCGTTTGTATTTGATAATTATTGTCTAATCATAGCCTAATTAAGCTCAAAAGATTCGTCTCGTAATTTACAATCAAACTGTGTAATTAATTATTTTTTTATCTACATTTAATACTCTATGCATGTGTTCAAAGATTTAATGTAATTGAGAGAGTGGGAAAACTTGCAATCTAAATAAGGCCCGAGTAAAAAAGTCCAGGCGTCTTGCATCCGCCGGGAGCAGATCTTCTTGACGTGATGCAAGGACTGAGAATGATGACTCCATGGTTGTGATGTTGCTTGCTTTTGAGTTTGTATCGTTATCAGGCCGTGTTTGATTTGCAGTCTTAACTAAGTTTGCCATGACTGAACTTAGGTAGCTATATTTAGACACTGTTTTAGTTGCTACCACGATTTAGTCTAACTTCTTAGTCGATTGCCCTAGTTTTCTTTGCACAATTTTGTCTACGGTGGTCAACAATTTTGCAGCCACAATTTACTGGCCAGCGTTTAGTTGCTATCAAGTCTGAACTTACCCCCCCGCGCTTGTCATAGCATGAGTTTTCTTGCTCAATGTTTTCTAAGATTAGGCCATCGATTTTCTTGCCAAAAAGTGCGGCAAGACTGAACTTAGCAGCCCAAGGCAAGCAAACTTTGTTTTTTTACTGTTCTAGACTGTAAGTCGTTCCGTTTTTTTTATTATATAGTTTTTGCTACGTACGTAAACATACATTATATCTAGATACGTAGTAAAAATTATATATAAAATCCAGAACAACTTACAATTTAGAACATCATTTATCAACCAAACATGTCGGTACGTGCATGCCAACTCAATAGAGCAAGGCTCGACCACTAGGGAACATGAATCCAAGAGAGCAGGTCGTTCATCATTCCACGAAGCATGTGTTGGGGTGATGACTCGTGAGGAACAGGAGCTTTAAAGCATCTTTGCCATACATTGTTATGGACAGAATCCTGTCTATCGGACCATTGTAAACCCAGACAAATTCTATAAGCGTAACCATGCTTGTGCTTATGTACAAATTTTTTAGACATGTCTCCAGAAAAACAAAAGGAGCCAGCTCATACTACTATTGAGTAGCGATCATATGACCATTACATCAGGAATGGCAATCAGCAGCAGCAAAACAGTCACATTAACATCAGCTATCACCATAGACAGATCTGATAAATAACTCTGTTCATGAAGAAAATAAAACTTGTATTAGTGTAGCGACACTAGACAAGGTGTCTCAGCTCCTATTGCATGGACGCAAGGGGCCAATGTCGGATCAAAATGGCCAGCAAAGTATAAGTGATATCATCGAATGAAATGAAATGCTATTAGCAAAAAGAATAAAAGCTACACAACAAGAACATGCATGCATGATGTATCTGCTACCTGCCGGCTCTTGGCACTACACTGCTACCAAATCGGCTAGGCAGAGCCATGTGACCACCACAACCCCACATCATTATGATCTAACATGACCATCACTTTCCAGTTCACAGGCAAACCTTCGCGCCTCAGCCAACTCTGGCTGACCACAGCAGTTGAACATAAGACAAACAAACAATGAGCATGCACACCAAACAAAACAAATCTCAAGAAATGAGGTACCGAGACCATCCCACACATCAACACTACACAAGTAAACTAAAAACACTTTTAATTAAGTTCATGGTACATCCAGTACTAAAGGATTACATGCTGATTTTTTTTAGTTTTTCAAAGTTCTGAATAGAATTACATAAGGATGCGACGACAGTCTCGCTGATACCATACATAATTTACATCCAGGTTCCTTAGTAGTAAAAAAAAGGTAGTGGTCTAAGATGAGACGAGAGCTAAACACAACACATCTAGTAGTAGTGGTAAGGACATATAAGATGAGATACCCAACCTACCGTTGTAGTCAGTCACTACAAAATAGGGCCATTGCGCGATTCTGAGTCGTTGGCATCATCAGTTGTTGTCATGTCATTCATCAGCGACTTTTTTGTTTCCTGACTGAACCTACCGGTAGTAAGCCTGGTGGAAGGCAGGAGCCATTCCATTGGTGTAAGCTGCCATCCCATTGCCATAACCGCCATAGGGGGCAGGGTAGCTCATGGGTGGGGTGGAGTATGGCATGGGAATGCCGACGTTGACACTTGCTACCTCCTCAGCTGGGTAAACATATGGCTCCCTGATCACAGGTGGGCTCCGGTTGCAGTAGAGGCCATGTCCAACCGGCCTGTCATAAGGGCAAGGAGAGGGTGTGGCGTATGATGTGTGGGAAGGGGAGGCTGCGGCATATGATGGGTGGGAAGGGGAGGCTGTGGCGTATGATGCATGCGAAGGGGAGGTCATGGCGTATGCGGTGTGGGAAGGAGAGGTCGTGGCATATGAGGCATGGGAAGGGGAGGTCGTGGCGTATGACGCGTGGGAGGGAGACTGGGTAAATGTGGTGGGAGCTGGGAAAGAAGACACGCAAGCATTGTTAGTGAGACGACCTGCCTGCCTTGCAGGAGGCATTGGGCCTCCAGTGCTCGCACGGATGCGCTTGGTTGCAGGGCCGCTGCTGCCGCCACACTGGTAGCGCTTGATGCTGCCTTTTTCTTCTCGGTCTTGGCTTTCTCCAGTTCTTCAAGTTGCTTCCAAGATCCTCCAGTGGAAACTCAGCTTCTAGTTTACGGTCCTCAACACACTTAATGACAGCTCATGAGTGCAGACTGCTCTTTCTTGTTCGCATTGCTCTGCAGGATAAATAACATCAGATCCCATAGAGTACCATCAAACAAAGAGACATTAAAACAGAGCCAGCCCAACAAGGGAGGTGATGGATAACTGAAATTATATGTAGCTAAAAGAGGATAATAGCACTAGGCACATAAATAAAACTCAAAAGTCAATCCTGAGTTCAAGAGATACTCTCTTTTTTTTTGTTGAACAGTGAGCAGGAGCACCGCTCTTTCAATTAAGAAATTCAAGAGATACTTTAGAGTTGCTGTTGTATTTATACGAACCCCTGATTGGCCGCTGCTGGTGCTTGAATTATCTGAAGCAGCAGCTGATGTCTTCTTAGAGTCTTCCAGATAGGACTTCAAAAGAGGAACAGGAGGGAACTTCTCCTGAAGCCCAGCCTCATAAGCGAAATTCACAGCATCAAGCTGCTGCCTCTTAGCAATTAGTTCCTCAATGATATCTGCAAAAGAAAAGGTATTAACATGTAGTGACTAATCTGCTTAAGTCTGAACAAGACCATGAAAGACTATCTCACACTCAGGAAACACGAAAATATATGACCAAGAAATAGAAATAGTCCACACAAAGGCATCAGCCATGCAGCAGTGAAGGTGTACTCTGGAAGGCAAAACCAAACTGCCATGAATTTGGCAGCAAAAAGGCATGGAATTGTCGGTGTTGTAGCAGCATAGTTTATAACAAGATAATGTAGCAGTTTCCGTTGGAATTTGGAATAGAAAAGAAGGCTGTTTGGCACTTCTTAGCATTGCAGTGAGGGTGCGCAGCATTGGAACAAGAGAGTCCAGAAACTTGCTGTTAACGACACTGCAACAATGAATTGCCTTTCACTCTAGAATTGCCTTTCACTCTGGCCTGTTCGCTGGTTGGTGCTGGTGCTGGTTTGGGCTGGCCGGTGCTGGTTTTTTGTGAGAGAAAAACACTGTTGGCTGGCTGGTTTGGGCTGGCTGAAACCAACAAGCGAACAGGCTAGAATCTGACGACATCTAAAGGCTAAAAGCAATGGCCCCCAAGACAAGCGCATGATGGCCATCATGTACAGAAGACACAGTTATCCTGAGCACTTGATAAAACACTAGACCACCTTTTTCCAAAACATGGCTATGACAGAGACCACCCAGGCCAGGAAGACGGGCCTTGCTCTAAAAAGACATACTCCAATGTAATGATACTACTACTATCATACCCTTGCACAGTAGAGTAATTAGCAGTGGTGCACTAGTCAGGGAAAACAAAGAAGGAACTTTTCAACTCATTTTGCCTGGGTGGTTTTCTTTTTACCCTCCTACAGAGCCTATTGAAATGCTGCTGCTGCTCTGATCTACAATTAATGATGGCAGCCACTTAATCCTAATGACAATTCAATGCTAGATCTATGCCGATTTATACCCACTGCACACTTGGTCAACCCAAAATCAACCATCTGAACCCTCAAGGTTCACCACTTCAGCACTTGGGCACGCACAACACCTCAAACAAATTTTGTGCAACAAAATGGAGCAAGAATGCAGGCAGCAGCAAGCAGGAAACAAGCGTATGCATATACCAGCCATTTCTTCCTCGAGGCCGAGTGTGAGCGCGAGGCGTGGCATCTGCCGGCGCCAGGAGAAGCTGACGACAATCCTGCGGTACAGCGGCCGGTCCTCCCTCTCCGCGACGGCGAACGTGGCCACGTGCTGCAGAAACGCGTGCGCGTCGGGCGGCTTAGCCCCCTCCACGCCCCCCTTCTTCTCGACAGCCTCCTTCCACTCCCTGGCCATGCCCCGCGCGCGCTCGCGCGCCGCCCGCGGCACGAGCGGGCGCGCGGCGCCGATGTCCGGGTCCGGGTCGGCGAGCGCCGGCACGGCGGCCTCGAGGATGAGCACGCACGCCCAGGCCAGGTCGGCGGGGTTCCGGGGGACCTCGCGGCGGTCGACGGGGAAGACGTCGGCCACGGCGTCCATGACGAACTTGGCCGGATCCACGCAGAGCTTGAGCGCGGGAGGCATCTCCGCCCGCAGCGCGTCCGCCTCCTTCCGGCGCGCCACCACGAAGCCCAGGAACGCCGCCGAGTCCATCCGCAAGCACAGAGCGCGCAGGCTCTCCGCGAGGCCCTCCTCCTCGGCGGCGGAGTCGGAGGGGTGGGGTCGGCGCCGCCGCCTCCTTGGAGAAGCGGAAGCGGCGGAGGCGGAGGCGGAGATGGAGTGGAGGTGGTCGAGCGCGCGGGAGACGGAGGCGTCGATGGAGGCCTCGCGGCGGTGGAGCGAGTCGAGCGCGCGGTGGGTGCGGGTGTCGAAGGCCCTGCGGCGGGCGCGGAGCTGCTCGGAGCGGGCCGCGAGCCCGCGCTCGAGCGAGCCGAAGTGGTCGGCCAGCTGCTGGTAGAGGCGCGTGCAGGTGGCCAGCAGCTGCTGCTGGCGTTCCAGCTCCGCGAAGCCCGCGCTGACCATGTCCCCCGTGACCGGCCCCCCTTCTTCCCCTTCCTTCTTCGCGGCCGGCGCCGCCGCCGGCGAGGCCATGCGGGGCCCGCCCGCGGAAACCCTAGCCGCCGCCGACCCGCTCCCTCCCTCCTCGATCCGCGAAACCCTAGCCGAAATTCCCTTCTCGTGATACGCCCCCGAGGCGAGGCGTGGGTGGAAAGCGAGGGGAGGAGGGGGTGTCGGGGTGAATAAAGAGGTGGGTGGGTGGGTGCGGGCCAACCGCGCCGCGACGCGTGGCGGCTGCAGCAACTGTGGGTGGGTCGGGGGCAGGAGCCCCCGTGGTTACGCGGCGTGTCCCTGCGAGTGGGGTATGGGCGTCGGTGGGCCTCGGGTGTCAGGGAGCGGTGGTCGCGGGCGGTGGCGTGGCGGGAGGAGACTGCGGGGAAAGCTGGCTGCGCTGTGCGCGGCGCCGCGCCCGGGCCGACGGCTGGTGGCGGGCAGTGTGGATGGGATGAGTAGCGCCACTGGCCAACACTAGGCAGTGACCACTGACCAGTGAGCAGTGGCCGGGTCGATGGCTTCGCATATGGCATGCTGGTGGCCTACGCATCAGGACATCACCGTCCGTCCTGGGATAGGTAAACTGCGTACCACTACCACCCGTCTCTATTGCAGGCTCCAAGGAAGTTCAAGAAAGAAATGAAAAGAAACAACCCTACTAAAGGTCTAAAACAGTAACGTTTGTATCTACCACGCGTGAAGCCTGGCGTTCTTTCGACGAGTGCATCCACATCCCGCGGTTAGTATCGTGCTTTACTTCTAGATTTTCTTACCGAAGCGCCGAAGCGGGCGACAGCATTAGAGCAAGGCTAATGGATACGTCCGCTCGCCGGCTGCAAGAAGCTCCAGGTCACCCGAGCTGCCGAGCAGTAGTGGCGGACCCCACCGACCTTTAATACTTCGCTGCGACGTGGAAGAACTGGAGTGGGGGAGCGGCAGCCACAGTGCATTTCGCCCGCTTTTTACCGGCGTCTCGCGAGTCGCTCGCTTTCTTCTCTCTCCTGCTTTCTCTCTCTCCCCCGTCGGATTTCGTCAGCTCTTCGCCGCTTATAATACTTGCTCTTACACTTTCTCGGCAGAGCTAAGCCCTCCGAAGCTTGATCAAGGTCCATCGTCCTGCTTAACTTATAAGCCGTATTTTTTCAGCTAACGAATAGTATTTTTCTCTCACAATAAATCAACCGACAGTACTTTCAGCCAAATCTTATCAGCCAAACATACAGGACACATTATATATATATATGCTCTAGCCATAAGGAGCAGTTGTTTGAGGAAGCTAGGTCTCATAGGTCTGATAAATTGTGAGTAAATTGGATAGGATGAGAGCGTGCATATACTTATACGTTGTGGGTGTATAGATAGACATGTGATATAACACATACATATATGGTCAAATTTTAGGTGGTGTCAAATTTTAGGTGGTGTTTGGTTGCCCCTCCTAAATTTTAGTCGCTGTTCCACACATGTAGGGAGTATTAAATATAGAATTACGAAACTAATTGCATAGTTTGCGATTAATTTGCGAGACGAATCTTTTAAGCCTAATTAGTCCATGATTTGACAATGTTGTGCTACAGTAACACGTGCTAATGATGGATTAATTAGGCTTAAAAATTCGTCTCGTGGAGTACCGATGGATTATGTAATTTGTTTTTTTATTAGTATCCGAACACCCCATGCAATATTCTCTCGACACACCTCCTAAATTTTAGTCACTAGATCCGAACACCACTTAGTCTTAATCAATGGTTTTATATTTTTGATGCTGCTGGTGCATTCGCACTGTCTTGAATCCTTGAACTTAGTATATCTTCACCCCTCCCATCATCAAGGCCCTCATTAGTCATTCCCGACCCACTGGGTCTGGGTCAAATAGCAAGACACAGTTCGCCATTAGTTTTCAGGACAAAACAGAGCAATAATGATTCCTTTTTAGTTGTCTATCACGCTGTCTAAGTATAGTTGTAGATTTGTTTGTATATCGTGTGTGTGATATGTGCGTGTGTATGTAGTGGTGTGTGTCTGTATCCGAACAGATACTATACTTAAAGATGAGAGGAAAAAAAAATAAAAAACAGAGATTCCAAGTGGCATCTTTTTTGGCAACAGAAACTTCCAAACATTTAGGTAGGGGCCTCCCCTCCCGACTTCTTCTTCTTCTTAAAAAAAAAAGAAACTTCCAAACAAGACCAAAATGTTCACTCATAGGCTGGCTCGAAGCAACCTCCTAGTGCATCGAAATCTTGCAATGAGGGGTGTTAAACTAGATACAATTGTTTCCAGTATGTAATCGCCCCGGTGGTCACCTTTTTTTTTAAGTGCAACAAAAATAAGAGGCTGCAGGCTGCTGACAGGCGCTAAATCTTGAGGATATATTCCAATTGCCTGTATAATGCAAATATCCTATGGCTTTGGTGGTCAATGAGAAATAAGTTAATACAGGAGGACAAAATGGTCTCTAAAATGGTGTATGGCGCTAAATCACTTGAAGGTTTGTGAGAAGCTTTAGAATCTAAAAACCCCACAATACATCATTGTAAGATTAGTCGGACCCCACCACCTAAAGAATTCTACAAGATAAATCTTGATGCCTCCTTCCATGGTAATGCCGGCCAACAAGATGGCCAGTGATTTGTTATTTGTAACAATGAAGGAGTCGTGTCACTGCCCTAGATCTTCCACATCACTGTCGGTTCAAAAATCCTCTTCACTGCCGGATTTTAAACCGACTGTGGCATACCGCAGTGATGGGGGTTGACATCACTGCTGGTTCCTAAAAACCGACACTGATGTACAGGCAACAGTGTCGGTTCTTGGCTTCACCCGACAATGTCCAGTTGAACAACACTGGCGGTTTGTAGATCCAACCGACAGTGATGTTTGCTTTAAGAGTGTCGATTCTTGGCTCAAGCTGGTAGTGTTGACCAAACCTACATTGTCGGCTTGTGTCTCAAGCCGGCAGTGTTGAGCAAGCCATCACTGTCGGTTCATGGCTCAACCCGGCTGTGTTGGTCGAGCCATCACTCCCGACTGGTAGCTCAAACCGACAGTGTTGTCTTCAGCAACACTGTCGGTTTGGATTTTAAGCCGACAGTGATGGCTCAACCAACACTGTCGGCTCGTGCCATGAACCGACAGTGCCCTCTTTACCATCACTGTCGGTTTTGTGCTAACCGACAGTGATCTTCTTTTCGTATTTTACTATTTTATAATTTATTTTATTTTATTAGTGGAATCAGGTTTCGCTTTATATTCGCTACATAGACAACATATCCTTCAACATTAAACATTACAAAATGTTACGGTTACAGTTCAAATGTACTTATGAAGCTCTCGATCCCTTGAAATAAAAAAGAAATTACAATAGTCTAGCGAGCCGCTCTGGCCCGTACTGCGCCATGTACTTCACGGACTGTGCAATGAAGAATGTTCTTTTTTTTTCCAAGCACTCCGATACAATGAAGGCTGCTAGCTCCAATGACAGTGCTATGATCTCCATTTCTAACAGCCTATTGTGTTTAAATTTCTTGCGCTGGCATTAAAAAACGGTTTCGAAAGGCAAAAATGTTAGAGAAATAAATAGATCGTTTTGTTGAATTAACAGATATAAATGGAAATGGGGATTATACACATCAAAGCATCTGCTGCCTTTGATTTTACGCCGAGGTAGCGAAGCATTGCCCACATTACGTAGAACCCGCATTTATTGTTTCCCGCCGGCTGGTCTAGGGTTTCCAATTGCATTGGTGCAATCTGGAATGGGACCTTCGTCCCACCGACCATTCTTGCCTGGACACTGTGACACGTTATAAAGTGTGAAAATGGGGGCAACATTAGAATATGCTATGTGCGATTAGAAAATAAGATGTTGGTAGGTTCGCTTACGTATTAAGCACTTCGACTAGGGGATCGAGCAAAGAAAGTGGCTTTTTCTTCGTGTCCCACACCTTGATACGATTTTTTTAATATCCACAACAATGAAGACGAAATGGTTGCTGCAATCATAAAACCCTAGTTAATGAATAATCATAACTACAAAAAACAAGCATAAAAATAAGAGCAGAGAACATATACTCGCAGTTGTAGGCTAGAAGTATTTCGGTTTTATTACTCATCTTGAAATTTTCAAAAATGGCAGTCAGTGTCTCCGTAAGATCTTCCACTTTATTTTCATGCATGCCTCCGCATGTTCTCTCGTTGACTAGCTCGGGGTCCAAGAAAGACATATGAGCAAACTTTGTTTTGAAGCAACGTTTTGCTACACACCTGCATAATTCATGGGGAATGTGCAGTCGTTAACTATCTGTGTATCGAGAGAGTAGTTAATTATAATATTGTACGAGAAGGGTACTTATATAGTCCACAGCGTCAACATTTGTGTATCGAGATCGCATCTCTAGAATAGCTGAAACAAGTGATCCCAACCGATAAAGTGCTTCTCTTCATTTGGATAATGGAAAACATGCGGTGGGCGGATAATATATTCAAAACCCGCCTGCCCCATCTCAAGTGCTTGGGCCATGTAATAATTATGCAAGTCACGCATATATGTTGTCAAATTTTTATAGTCCTCCTTATCCACCAAGAAATTGCCTCTTTGAAACTGCATTGCCGGTCTTGCCGTCTCATATAGTGAATCATAATAGATATTCGCGGCATCATCCCTGGTTAATCTGGGGTTGTCTTCGACAATCTTGTTTATCTTCCTTTGATCTTCATGATTTATTTCTTCGACTCTTAATTGATTGTGCTTACTCTCTGTTTGCCTATTGAATTCAGACTGCACCCTCCACTTGATCATAGCAATCTTCCTAGGTCAGGTAGATCCCAGGCACCCGACCAACATGCACTACATACCATGCCATGGTTGCCTATACATTTAACCAAATTAGGTTGATAGTGCTATGTCATTCAAATATGTTCTAGACCAAGCAAACTAAGTTTAGTGTATCGAGCAAAGTTGTAGACTATATTCAAATATTCAAACTTCAATGTCCAACACAACTATGTATGTTTGAGCACTAGTATGTATTCAACCA